CACCCAAGCGTCGGTGGCACACACCTTTAATCCCAGCACTCGGGAGGCAGAGGCAGGTGGATCTCTGTGAGTTCGAGGCGAGGCTGGACCAACAACCTCCAAAACAATACAGAGAAACCCTGTCTTGTAAAAGCAAAAAAAGAAAAAGAAAAAGAAAAACCAAAAAAAAAAAAAAAAAGGTTGGGTGCCACAACACACAAACTAAAATGCTTTTTTTTTTTTTTTGGTTTTTTGAGACAGGGTTTCTCTGTATTATTGTTTTGGAGGCTGTCCTGGAACTCGTAATGTAGACCAGGCTGGCCAACTCACAGAGATCAGCCTGCCTCTGCTTTCCCAGTGTTGGGATTGAAGGCGTGTGCCACCAAAGCCCAGCTTTTTTTTTAATCTATTTAACTTTATTTTATGTGCATTGGTGTGAAGGTGTCAGATCCCCCTTGAAGTGGGGGTGCAGACAGTTGTGAGCTGCCATGAAGTGCTAAACCTGGATCCTCTGGAAGAACAGCCACTGCTCTTAATCAATGAGCCATCTCTCCAGCCCCTGTCTTTCCTCTCCTTTTCTTTCTTTCTTTCTTTTTCTTCCGTTCTTTTTTAAGTGCATTGGTGTTTTGCCTGCATGTATGTCTTGTGAGGGTGTGAGATGTTGGAGTTATAGACAGTTCTTTTTTGGGGGGGAGGTTTGAGACACGGTTTTTCTGTATTGTTTTGGAGGCTGTCCTGGAACTAGCTCTTGTAGACCAGGCTGGCCTCGAACCCTTACAGGTTGCCCTCTTCTGACCTCTGAAGCATCAGGCACAAAAGTAGTGCACATATATACATGTAGTCAAAACACCTATACATATTAAAAAAGAAAAAACATTTTTTTTTTTTGGTTTTTTGAGACAGGGTTTCTCTGTGGCTTTGGAGGCTGTCCTGGAACTCGCTTGGTAGTCCAGGATGGTCTCGAACTCATAGAGATCCGCCTGCCTCTGCCTCCCGAGTGCTGGGATTAAAGGCGTGCGCCACCAACGCCCGGGCCAGAAAAAACATTTTTTAAAAAGTTTTTCTAGCCAGGCATTGGTGGTGCACGCCTCTAATGCCAGCACTCGGGAGGCAGAGGCAGGCGGATCTCTGTGAATTCCAGGCCAGCCTGGTCTACAAAGTGAGTTCCAGGAAAGCCTCCAAAGCTACAGAGAAACCCTGTCTCAAAAACAAAAACAAAAACAAAACAAAAAAGCTACAGAGAAACCCTATCTCAAAAAACAAAAGTTTTCATAGATCTGTTTCCTCACATGTCACGTAGGTACATTGTGGTGGAACTGGTATAATTGCTGTCATGAGTCAGAACGGTTTCCCACAGGAGAGCCTATCAATACTCCCCTGCAGGAGATGTGTGCTGATAATCAGCCCCTCACCTGAGAGCCTGGACACCATTCCCACTACACCCCAACCCTAACAGTCCCAGCTACATGTAGTCTTGAGATGTTCTGGGATGTGTAGGTGAAAGCTGACTAGAGTTAACTGGAATGGTGCAGCTTTCTTGAATTGCCACTAGTGCCAGGGTGCAGCTTTTTAGCGATGTAACTGCCCAAGAGTTACACTCCTGTTACACAAAAACAATAAATACAGCATGGAGGTGGTGCACACCTTTAATTCCAACACTCCGGAGGCAGAAGCAGGCAGATCCCTGTGACTTCAAGGCCAGCCTGGTCTACAGAGACATTTCCAGGACAGCCAGGACTACAAAGAAACCCTGTCTGGTATAGTGAAGAGAGGGACACACGTTAGTCAGGACAAAAAACAAGTACATTGACTCACCAAGCTGGACTTCAGACTTACATGGAGTCATTATTATTGTTTTTTTGAGACAGTTCCTCTGTGTAGTTTTGGAGCTTGTCCTGGAACTCACTCTGTAGACCAGGCTGGCCTCAAACTCAGAGATCCTCCTGCCTCTGCCTCCCAGTGCTGGAATTAAAGACATGCACCACCACCACCTGGCTATTTACATATAATTTAAAAGTAATAAAAATAAGATGGTCAGCCGGGCGTTGGTGGCGCACGCCTTTAATCCCAGTACTCGGGAGGCAGAGGCAGGCTGATCTCTGAGTTCGAGGCCAGCCTGGTCTACAGAGTGAGTTCCAGGATAGCCTCCAAAACAATACAGAGAAACCCTGTCTCGAAAAAACCAAAAAAACAAAACAAAAACAAGATGATCAGCCAGGCATTGGTGGCACACACCTTTAAACCCAGCACTTGGAAGGCAGAGGCAGGAGGATCTCTGTGAGTTCCAGGCCAACCTGGTCTAAAAAATGAATTCCAGGACAGCAAAGGCTGTTATACAGTCTTTGGAAAACAAAACAATAGCATCAGACACCCTGAAGTTGGAGTTACAGGTGGTTGGGAGATGCATGACACATATTTATCTATCCATTCATTCACTTTTTTTATGAGGGGCAGGATTTCTGTGTAGCTCTGTAGAACAGCCTGGCCTGCCTCTGCCTCCCCAGTAGAGGGATTAAAGGCATGTTGTGCCACCACCATCCAAGTTGTTTGGGAGTAGAGAGTTGGCTCAGTGGTTAAGAACTAGGGTTCAATTCCCAGCATGGCATTTCCCTATTGTAATTCCAGTTTCAGAGTTTATGCCCACTTCTGGCCTCCTTGGGCACATGGTGCACATACATCCATGCAGGCAAAATATTCATACCCATGAAATAAATCTTATTATTATTATTATTATTATTATTATTATTGGTTTTTCCGAGACAGGGTTTCTCTGTATTGTTTTAGAGGCTGTCCTCGAACTCACAGAGGTCTGCCTGCCTCTGCCTCCCGAGTGCTGGGATTAAAGGCGTGGGCCACCAACGCCCAGCCCCGTTCTTAGTATTTTAAGTATATAATATAATGGCTGACACCTGAAGTCTTCTTAGTACTGAAGGAACGTGAATCTGGAAGAGTCTGAGTTGGGAGCCAGTCAAAGCTTCATTGGAAGACCTTACTTCAAAACAAAGTACAAACTGGTTAGGACAAACAAAAATTGGAAGCCTCCAGGTGGTGGTGTACACCTTTAATCCCAGAACTTGGGTGGCAGAGACAGGTAGATCTCTGTAAATTTGAGGCCAGCCTGCTCAACTGAGTGAGTTCCAGGACAACCAGTGTTGTTACACAGAGAAACTGTGTCTTGAAAAAACAAAAACAAAAATCAATTCAAAGCCAAGTAGACAGGAGAGAGAAGAGATTTATTTTTATTTCTCTTAGGGTTTGAGGGTTGAAATCAGAGTGTCAGGCAAGCTTGGTATCATCATATATCCATTCCTTTCTTTCTTTTTATTTATTTATTTGTTTGTTTTTCGAGACAGGGTTTCTCTGTGGCTTTGGAGGCTGTCCTGGAACTAGTTCTTGTAGACCAGGCTGGCCTCGAACTCAGAGATCCGCCTGCCTCTGCCTCTCCAGTGCTGGGATTAAAGGCATGTGCCACCAACGCCCGGCTCTTTCTTTTTTTGTTTTAAAGAAATGGCTTCTAGGACTGACAAGATGTCTCAGTGGTTAAGAACACTGACTGCAGAGCGCCCGGATAGCTCAGTCGGTAGAGCATCAGACTTTTAATCTGAGGGTCCAGGGTTCAAGTCCCTGTTTGGGCGGCTAGAAATTTTGCATGACTAGTCACAATTAAATGCTTGAGCCGGAGCCGGGCGATAGTGGCAAACTCCTTTAATCCCAGCACTCCTTTAATCCCAGCACTCGGGAGGCAGAGGCAGGCGGATCTCTGTGAGTTCGAGGCCAGCCTGGTCTACAGAGCGAGTTCCAGGACAGCCTCCAAAGCCACAGAGAAACCCTGTCTCGAAAAACCAAAAAAAAAAAAAAAAAACACTTGCTGTTTCAGAAACTCAGGTTCAGTTCCAAGCACTTATGTGGCAGCTCACAACTATTTTGTAACTCCAGTTCTAGTGGATCCAACAGCCTCTCTGGCCTTTGCAGATACCAGGCACTCACAGTGTACATGCTATACACACATTCATACAAGCAGAAGATGCAAACACATAAATCTGTTACTGATATTTCGTTGAGAAGGAATGGAAAATTAGAGGAATGCTTCAAGTTTTTGGTTTTGCTTTGTTGTTAATTTACTGTGTGTATGGGGAGACATTCCACGATGCACAAACATGGAAGCCAGAGAACAACTTTGGAGAGTTGGCTCTCCTTCCACTGTTAGGGTAACAGGGATGGAACTCGGGTTGTTGGGCTTAGTATCAAGCACTCTTAACATCAGCCTCTCTCTTCCTACTTAGTGTTTTCAATGGTAAAAGTAAGTTAGGAACTGGGGCTGGGCATGTTTCACACTCACAGTTCCAACACTGTGAAGGCAGAAGCAGAAGGATCACATATTTAAAACAAGAAAACAAGCCTGGATCATACAAGGAAGAACCTGTCTTTAAAACCCCAAGTCCTCAGAACTGACTCCCTATAGCATGAGTGCGGATAGAGAAATACAGGCACTCAGGTTGTACACAGCACAATGGTTGTCTAGAATGAATGAGGCCCTGAGCTGGACTCCCAGAACCACTACCGTCACCAGCAATAAACAAGAAAAATTGTTCCTCACTATAATCCCAGACCACACAGGTACAGAATCAGACCTACTATCAAGATCCTTACCTCCCCACCTACCACACAATAACCATCTTTCAGAAATGGAAAGTTGTGTTCTTATCTAGAAAGAGGGAGACCACTGAAGAAGCCACCCAGTTTCTTTTTGACATAGGGCTTTACTGTGCAACCCTGGAACTCATATGTAGACCAAGATGGCCTAGAACAGAGATCCGCCCGTCTCTGCCTCCAAAGTGCTGGGATTAAAGACTGGGCCACCATGCCCTGCACGACCTAGTTTCTTACTGCTTTGCTCAAGCAAACTGTGCATCCTGCGTCTGGGATCTCTCTCAATGGCTGTTTCTATGACCCATTCCCATTCTTCTCTCAATGGCTGTTTCTATGACCCATTCCCATTCTTGCACTTAGAGACACGTTAGTCAGAGATCTAGGACTTTATTACAAAGAGCTGACTGCTAGAGAGGGCCCGCCGCGGTCCTTTTCTGTGTCCTCTTTCCTCCCAATATGGAACTCCAGGGGAGGTCAATGGTCATGGGTGTCTGGGACAGTGAAATGTGGTTGCATTTTCTCCAAAGTCCTCCAAGTCCTTCTGGCTGCCCTTGAGAATCTTCTAAGAGGGAGGGACTTTAGCTCTCATCTCCAAGATCCTCCATATCTACGTCCTGGGGAGCTTTTATCTTCTTTTGTCGTTTGGGCTGTGACTCACTAGTCCTGGTTTGCTTGGAAGAGGCTTCCACTTAACAAAGGGAAAGAAAAGAGGGAGCATTATAAGAACCCAGGTAAAATCCAGACTCCCTCTTGTGGAACCTCAGACAAACCTTCCATGGATGCTTTTTCTTTCTGGGCAAAGCGGATCTGCTGCAGGAGTTTCCTGCGCTTCTTCCCGGATAGCGTGATGTTGGCACGTGCACTGGATCTAAAGGAACAGAGAGGAAGAAAGATATCCACGTTATTCTGAACCAACCCAAGCCACAGAAGTTATCACAGAACTCGAATTTGTATCCAAAATTCTACGTGTACTTTGGAGAAAATCAGACTAATTGTCTCATTTATGTGTGCACTTTTATTTTAAAAAAATCTAAGTTAATATGGGTAACCTTTAGCCGGGTGGTGGTGGCGCACGCCTTTAGTTCCAGCACTCAGGAAAAAAAAATATATATATATGTATATATATATATATATATATATATAAAACCTTTGAAGGGTGGAAGAACAGACAGTCTACCTTAGTAGAATCCAAACTTAAAAAACCCTGTGAGCAACGGTATTGTGAGAGGCTGGTGGTTTGGGAACTAACATAACTGACAACTTTAACCATGAGAGAAGAGAGAACAAGAAAATGGGAAAAGATCGGACTGCTCTGAAGCTGGGGAGGAAGGAGATAGAAATGACCACTCGGAGGGAGCCAGTACCGTACTCACGCCCGCTTCTTGAGGTGGTGTTTCGTCGTCAGCCCTTCGTCTATAACGGCCCCGACCACCTGGCGCTTCCGTCGCCGATCCCTGCTCAGCACTCTCCGGCGCTTGAACAACTTCTTCTTCAGCTCCTGAGGAAGAAAAAGACGCGCATCAGAGTAAGGTCGTGCCCGCCCACCCGGGATCCCTGCAGCCGGCTACCCCAGACACCACTGATCCTGTCTATGGAGAGGGAAACGCTCTGAGAAGCAAAGACACAGCTCCCACAGTCACCGTCCGGGGACGATTGATCTTTCCTCCCGGTGGTGCCATAGCTGCACAAAGAGGCTCAGACACGGAGTCGCACTTCCGCTCGACTCGCAGGTTCCGCCATGCGCAAAGGGTTCCGCCCCCTTGTACCCGCGGACCAATCGCAGCTCGGGGGCAGGCTCCAGGCCTATATAAAGGAGGTCCGCGCTCCTAGTGGTCTTTCGAAGGTGATTTTCACGTGAGTTGGCATTGTCTTCCTTGTCTTTGCGGGGGGTCTTCCTGCTTTTGGGGTTTTGGGGCCTGACTTTGTAGACCCTCCTTTTCTTGGCGGGGACCGGGCGTGCGGTCCCGCTCCCCGTTATGTACGGAGGCAGAAGGAAAGGGCTCCGGCCCACTCGGCGTCATGTCTTCGGTGCCTGCGGCCTTCCGTTCGCCGGTTCTATCCTCAAACGCCGGGACACCGCTCTCCGCGCAGAGTTGTACCAGATGCACCAGTCCCCTCTGTGCGTCACTCAAACTTTTTTATTTTCATTCCAGGTATGCGGACAAAGCCTCGGGAGTCTTAGGTAACGTGGTTTCCTTAACCTTTTGTTGTTTAATCAATAAAGTCGACTGAACTGTAAGCTCTGCATGTGTGCTTCCTTTTTTCCGCGACACGGAACTTAAAGCGCAAGCTGGGGGTCTGCGCGACAGTTCGCTAAAAATCCTCTAGTCATCTTGTGGGGACATAGGGTGGCAGCCTTTCAAGATGTCGACTCATCGTCGACTCAATGGTGGAGGGCGTGCACCAAGCCTTTATCGACATAGAAGGTGCGATCCTGAAGACGTGGGAATCTTTGTTTTTTGTTGTTTTTCAAGACAGGGTTTGTCTTTGGCTTTTGAGGCTGCCCTATGTCTTGCTCTTATAGACCAGGCTGGTCTCGAATTCACAGAGATCTGCCTTCCGAGTGATGGGATTAGAGGCGTGAGCCACTACTGCCTGGGCATGGGAATCTTGAACCTGTATTTAACCCAATGGTAAAAGGCCCATCCTAAAGCTAACCTGGGGTGGGGTAACACTCTGAAATCGACTTCACTCCCAGCAATGAATGGGCAGTGATCCCACCTTCTGTTTCCCTGCGGGAAAATCCAGGGCCAACTTCAGACTACACTGAGGGTATTGGGTGTGAGCAGTTAGGTCTCAAGCCTCCCCTAGGGTTGCTGTGTTGGGACTGACAGGAACAGCTTTATCAAGGAGGCCATGGCCAAAAATCCTGCCTCCTGCCTTCACTTTTTCTGGGGGGAGGGGTTGGGGAATGAGAGAGTCTAGACAAGGTTTCTCTGTATAATTGTGTCCTACGGGCAATGGCAGGCAAAAGGGCTTTGAAAATGACAACAAAAAGTGGAGAAAAAAACAATACTTACCCCCAAAGGTACTGGGAGGTGGGAAATGGGAATATTCCACAAATCGGGTTCTATAAATGCAGGACCTTGTTGGGTCCCAAAGAGAACTGGGGTTGGGAATTTCTTGGCCCTCTGTGTCCTCAGGAATCCAGGAGTCATCCTCTTGTTCATTCCCCCAGTCAGGTCCAGGGTTAAATGTTTTTAAAGGAGATGTGGGGTCCTGTGGGATCCAAGCCCAACCTGGGAGAAGAGTTAGCCTATGATATTTTCAAAGAACAGTTAATTTTGAGACAAGGCCTCTAGATGTAGACCTGACTGGCCTGGAACTATGTAACAAGTCAGTCTGGCTACCATTGTCAGCTCTGATAAATATTTTAAAAGATTTGTTATTCTAGGGTGTATGGATATTTTGCATATGCATGAGGTCAGAAGAGGAAATCCAATCCCCTAGAACTAGAGTTATATATGGTTGGGAACTACCACATGGGTGCTAAAAAGTAGGGAGTTCTTAAAAGAACTGCCCAGCCAATTCTCCAGCTTGATTTTTCTGTGTATGAGATCAGAACTTTACCTTTAATCCCAGTACTGGGGCCTTGGAAGTGGTCAGATTTCTATTAGATCCAGGCCTGTCTGTATCTGTATTCAAGAGTGAATGCAGGTTTGGAGGCCAGCGATGAACATCAGTTACCTTCCTCAATTGCTCTTCACCTTATTGTCAGGGTACCTTTCCTGTTTGCCTAGTCAGCTTGCTCCAGAGCTCTCAGCCTCAGAGTGCACTGTGATTACAGATGGACTGCTATACCCAGCTGGCATTTGTACGAATAGTGGGAATCTGAATTCAAGTTCTCATGACTGCAGAGCAAGCATTCTCCACCCACTGAGCCAACTCTCCAGCCTAGTTTCCTCATTTACAAAGTGAAGTTATCTCCCTATTGAGTTGTTCTGAAAAATCATAAGGTAAAAATATTTAGCTCACTGACTGGTGGGTAATGCTCAAAAAACAAAGCATCTGAAATGTTATAACAATATACAGCCATCCATCTGAAAAATGTTCATTACCTCTAGATAGCTTGATATGGGGTAATCATATCATCTTCCCCTCCCCAGTAATTAACCATATAAGTATCTTAAAATATTAAAAGTCCAGATTACCAATAGACAATATAGCAAGACCCATGCCAAACAAGTTGAACAATGAATCCTGTCTCCAGAAAGCAAAAGAACAAAACAAAGTACAAATTATGGCTGTGGGTGGAGCTCAGTGATAGATCAATTATTTAACATGCAAAGACCTTGGTTTTGAGATCTGGTGAGATGGCTTAGCCTGCAAAAGGCTAAGCAGGCCAAGTGTGACAGTTTAATCTCTAAGACCCACATGGTTGTCTGGTACCCTCCACAAGTGTGGAAGGAACATATGCATGCCCTATCTGAAATACACCTTCACTGTACTTATTTATTTTGTTTTGTTTTTGAGACTGGGTTTCTTGGTGTAGACTGGCTGTTCAGGAACTGTTTCTATAGACTAGTCTCAAAATCACTGAGATCAGCCTGCCTCTGCTTCCTGGATGCTGGAATTAAAGGCTTGCACAATCACCACCTGGTGAGACAGGGTCTCAATATGTAGTTCTGACTGTTCTGGAACTCTGTGGAAGAGGCTGGCCTGAGAGATCTACCTGCCTTTGCCTTTTTTTTTTTTTTTTTTTTCGGTTTTTCGAGACAGGGTTTCTCTGTGGCTTTGGAGGCTGTCCTGGAACTCGCTCTTGTAGACCAGGCTGGCCCCGAACTCACAGAGATCTGCCTGCCTCTGCCTCCCGAGTGCTGGGATTAAAGGCGTGCTCCACCAACGCCCGGCTCTGCCTTTGCATTTAAAGTGGTGGAATTAAAGAAATGTGCCACCCAGCTACACACACACATTTTTAGAAGATGCTTTAAGGCCCTGGGTTCTATCTCAACAGTATGAGCAAAAGAAAGCAAAAGTCAAGCAAATAGAAAGGGTGGAGCTCCGCCAGGCATTGGTGGCGCACGCCTTTAATCCCAGCACTCGGGAGGCAGAGGCAGGTGGATCTCTGTGAGTTCGAGGCCAGCCTGGTCTACAGAGTGAGTTCCAGGACAGCCTCCAAAGCAATACAGAGAAACCCTGTCTCGAAAAACAAAAACAAACAAAAAAACAAAATCCACACCATGGTGTGTGTGTGTATGCAACCCAGAGTCCTGTGCCTGCTATTATGCACTTTAGCCCTAAACTGCACCATACCACACCTATTTCTAACATTCCAGGACACCTACTGTAGGTCTAGAATGTCTAGATGGCAATGAATGAATAAGCCATCACCCTCACCTGGCTCTTCATTTTGGTCCTGGAAGAAGGCTTCTGCTTCCTCTTCTTCACCATCAGTGAGTAGCAACAACTCCTCATGTGGCCACTGGTTATCCTCCTGGTCTTCGTCATTCCCCTCTGAGGCCTCTGCCGCAATAGAGGGCAGGTGGGGCTTTTGAGACACCTGCATAAATGTAAGTACAGCAGGGATGTTGGGCCCAATTTGAGAATGAGCCAGGCCCAACACCAGTCGTACTCACTCGAGCATCCTGATGACCTTCACTTCTGCCAATCTCTTGTCTGCTCTTTGAGAGAGGATTCATGAAACCAGGACTTTCTGGATGCCATGAAGAGTCTGGGCTATCTCCAGACCAAGGTCCATCCTTGCTATTCCCTGGCACAAGAGCCATGATAGGGACTATAAGAGTGCAGAGTGGCTGAATTCCAGGTCAAGTACCCTGCACAGTGTCCCACACAGACTAGGCTTTAATCTTCTTTGGAGAGGGCCCCTTAATCACTGCTGGGGAAAGAACGCTGACAAGCTGGGAGATTATGGACCTTCCAAGGGAGGGGAGAAGCCAAAGAGGAGAGACAGGAGCTTTATTCTGTTTATTCCCTGAGACACTGGGGATGGCAGTTAAGGTAGGAGACAAGGGCAACTGGATTAAAGCCCTATAAATAAAAAGCTGTGATAGTGGATTTCCTGTTTTTCTCAAGTGGGCTTATTTGTATATTATTTAATGAATGTTATGTGGTCTTTGCTACTTCTCAGGAACCCTTTTATTTATTTACCTTAAATGTATGTATTTTATAGGTATGGCTGTTTTGCCTGCAGGAATGTCTTCTGCTATGGAGGCCTGAAGAGAGTATTGAATCTCTTTTGAGACAGGAGTTATAGAATGTTGTGGGGCACCATGCGGGGGCTGGGGATCAAATCAAAACAGTCAGTGCTCTAAACTACTGAGCCATCTCTCCTAACTTGCCAAGAACCCTGAGCAGTGGTGGTGCATGCCTTTAACCCCAGCACTCGGGAGGCAGAGGCAGGCGGATCTCTGTGAGTTTGAGGCCAGGCTGGACCGACAGCCTCCAAAACAATACAGAAAACCCTGTCTCGTAAAACCAGAAAAAAAAAAAAAAGAAGCACAGGCAGGTAAAACCTCAAGGCTAGAATGATCTACACAGCAAGTTCCAGGCCAATCAGGACTAGAAAGTGAAATCCTAGAAGCCCTTTTTAAAAATTTTTATGTGCATTTGTGTTTTGTCCAGATTCATGTCTGCATGAAGGTGTTGGATGCCCTGGAACTGTATAGTTGGGAGCTGCCATATGGATACTGGGAATTGAATCAGGATCCTATAGAAACGCAGTCAGTGTCAGTGTTCTTTTTTTTTTGGTCTGTTCTCGAGACAGTTTTGTGTTTTTGTTTGTTTGTTTGTTTTTGTTTTTTTGGTTTTTCTTTTTTTTTTTTTTTTTTTTTTGGTTTTTCGAGACAGGGTTTCTCTGTGGCTTTGGATGCTGTTCTGCAACTCACTTTGTAGACCAGGCTGGCCTCGAACTCACAGAGATCCGCCTGCCTCTGCCTCCCGAGTGCTGGGATTAAAGGCGTGCGCCACCAACGCCCGGCGTTTTTTTGGTTTTTCAAGACAGGGTTTTTCTCTGTATTGTTTGGGAGGCTGTCCTGGAACTCGCTCTGTAGACCAGGCTGGCCTCGAACTCACAGAGATCGGCCTGCCTCTGCCTCCCGAGTGCTGGGATTAAAGGGATTAAAGGCATGCGCCACCAACGCCCGGCTCAAGCATTTAATTGTGACTAGTCATGCAAAATTTCCAGCTGCCCGAACAGGGACTTGAACCCTGGACCCTCAGATTAAAAGTCTGATGCTCTACCGACTGAGCTATCCGGGCGCTGTGCAGTTAGTGTTCTTAACCACTAAGACATCTTGTCAGTCCTAGAAGCCATTTCTTTAAAAAAAAAAAAAAAAAAAAAAAAAAGACAACACTGGTTGTCCTGGAACTCACTCAGTTGAGCAGGCTGGCCTCAAATTTACAGAGATCTACCTGTCTCTGCCACCCAAATTCTGGGATTAAAGGTGTACACTACCACCTGGAGGCTTCCAATTTTTGTTTGTCCTAACCTCTTTGTACTTTGTTTTGAAGTAAGGTCTTCCAACGAAGCTTTGACTGGCTCCCAACTCAGACTCTTCCAGATTCACGTTCCTTCAGTACTAAGAAGATTTCAGGTGTCAGCCATTATATTATATACTTAAAATACTAAGACCGGGGCTGGGCGTTGGTGGCCCACGCCTTTAATCCCAGCACTCGGGAGGCAGAGGCAGGCAGATCTCTGTGAGTTCGAGGTCAGCCTGGTCTACAGAGTGAGTTCCAAGACAGCCTCTAAAACAATACAGAGAAACCCTGTCTCGAAAACCAAAAAAAAAAAAAAAAAAAAAAAAAACTAAGAACGCTAAGAATGGTCCTCTATTGATCAGAAACTTCAGGGGTTGAAAACTGGCAATGGTTTTTTATTTTAATTAATTTTTTTTACTTTATCTATCATCTATTTTGGTTTTTGAGACAAGGTTGCCTTGTTTAAACCAGACTGGCCTCGCACTCAGAGATCCACCCTGGAATTAAAGTCCTGTGCTATCACCACCCAGCAAAAACTGGCAATTGAAAAGTCCACAGCTACTGTGCAGTGCACTCAATGAACTTTAGTTCTAACTTTTTTTTTCTTCACTATTTTATGTGTATGAATGTTTTGCCTGCATGTGTCTGTGCACCACAGTGCCTGTCTGATGCCCACGGGGGTCAGTAGAGGGTGTCAGATGCCCCCGTGGAACTGGAGTTGTGAGCCTCTATGAGAGTGCGGGGTATTGAACCCAGGTCGGCAGAGCCATCGCTCCATCCAGCTCTAGCATTTCTTAACATGCTCAAAGTCCCTTCGTCAGTTATTAAGCTCCAGGATCTCATGTTGGGTGAGGCGGTAGCAGCAGGCAGCTTCCTTGTAAGTTCGAGGCCAGAGGTCTACATAACGAGTTTCTACACAGGAAGTTCCTAGTCGGCTAGGAGTGCAGGGTTGTTTTTTTTTTTTTTTTTTTTTTCTCCTCCTTTCTCGAAACAAGGATTCTCTGTGCATCCCTGGCTGTCCTGGATCTCACTCTATAGACAAGGTAGGTCTCAAACTCAAAAGATCTGGTCTGTCTCTGCCTCCGGAGTGCTGGGATTAAAGGCCTGCGCCACCACTTGCCGGCTTTCGTTGTTTTTTAAAAATCAATGCTCTCAAGACTTGAGGCGTCTAAACGTTTCTAGGAACCAGAACCTCTCTAGCCCGGCAATTGCTCTATGGCTTTTCGGCTCCGCCCCGTACCCAAGTCGCTCTAGCCCGCCTAGGGAGCGGTGAGACGTCGTGGCTCTCTTCTAGGCTGCGGGAGGACGCGGAGGGCGCCTCGCTGGTAGTCGGCCATGGGTACGCTTCATAAAGCACTGGTCGCGGTTGCAGTTTTAGGCGCTGGTGCTGGCGTGGGCTGCACTCTGTTTGCTCTTGTGGTCCCAGGAGAAGTACAGAAGCAGGCAATGCTGCAGGTAGAAACATCCGGGTTTCCCGGGGTGGGCGTGCGTTGGGGGAGAGGCCGTGTCTTCCGGCCCGGGCTGCACACAACCTTCTTGCCCTTAGGAGATTCCGGAACGGGACCCGCGGCGCAGGGACGAAGCTGTCAGAACCAAGGAAGTAGTGATGGCCACTCTGAAGAAAGCGGTGTCCACGGAGGAGAACGTGACCTGGAGGAAGAACTGGTTTTCCGAAGTTAGCGGAGGCAGCAGGTCAGCGTGACATCAGGGCTTGCCGGTGGACGCCGGGACCTGCGAGGCTGTTTGCGCGCCGGATTCAGGATAACACACGACTCTACCAGGCACAGGGAGCGGCGGTCGGCGAATGCTTTTAACGTGCGCATCGCGTGACAGGGCCGAGACGGCCGGACGTGTGGAACCAAAGGAACTAATAAATCCACGTCATACGTTAAGTAGACTCGGCAGCTGGATATCTAAGGCCTAGAGAGTTGTGCGGGTCCGCACGGTGGGCGCAGAAGACAGGAGTAACCGACTGCCACTCCCCCTGGAGAGTTCTAAGTCCAATAGGTTTTCCCGAAGAGTGTGAACAACAGATCACGTGATCTAAGTTGGCTTCGGAAACTGGCTGTAAAAGACATCCTAAAGTCTGTTTTTTTGTGTCTTGTTATGTGCCTGAAAAATGAAAGTGAAAAAAGAGTTCTCTATTTCCACATGGTGTCCGGCTTGTTGGCCAAGTGTTTTCACCCTGACTTTTTTTTGAGACATTCTCATATATCCTAGGCTAGTCTGGAATCGGGTATGTATTCCACTCCCAAGTGTTGATGGCAGGATGAGACTCCATGCTCAGCTCCAAGTCATATTCTTCAACTCAGAGCATCTTCTGCTTTGCAGTGAATACCATAGAGAACTCGTGTCCTTTCAGCAAAATTGAAGAGTCCCTTGACTGCCCCATGCTCTCCTCTAGTTACTATTTACCTTTGGTTAAAGACAGAGTTTGTCTCATGGTGAGTGGAAAAAACTAGCTCCTGGTCTCTTATGGCCTCTGCATGTGTGCCTCCACAGGCACACCCATACACAAGTATGATGAGTCTTCACCCCCAAGGTTTTCACTATGGTACTTTCAGTCTCTGAGTCCAGTTATAGTGTTTCTTGTCACTGAGAGCATGAGTCATGGAAGCAGGTCTGGTGGTACACAAAACCCAAGCAAACAAAAAAGCCCTGGGGTTGGAACTATAGAGATTAACCTGACCACAATTCTTTTTTGGTGGCACTGAGGGTTAAGCCCCAGCACCCTGGACATGATGATAAACATTACCTATCACTGAGCTCCACTCCAGCCCATACACATATACACGTATAGGTGTGTCCATGTATGGTTTTTGTTTGTTGGTTTGTTTTTCGAGACAGGGTTTCTCTGTATGGTCTTGGAGGCTGTCCTGGAACTCACTCTGTAAACCAGACTGGCTTCAAACTCACAGAGATCCACCTGCCTCTGCCTCCTAAGTGCTGGGATTAAAGGTGTGTGCCACCAACGCCTGGCTCTATTTATGTTTATAATACTGTGTGTGTGTGTGTGTGTGTGTGTGTGTGTCTTTATAACCCAGACTGACTTTAAATTTGAGGTACCTTGTCATGCATCTCAGCCTCTCAAATACTAGGATTACAGGCTTGTGTCACTACTCCCAGCTTTCTTTTTCTTTCTTTTTTAAGTTATACTTTAAAGATTTATTTATTTATTATGTATACAGTGTTCTGTCTGCATGTATCCTTGCAGACTAGAAAAGGGCACCAGATCTCATTACAGATGGTTGTGAGCTACCATGTGGTTGCTGGGAATTGAACTCAGGACCTGTGTAAGAGCAGCCAGTGCTCTTAACCTCTGAGCCATCTCTCCAGCCCCCAGCCTCATTTTTCTATTTTCAGACAATTGCAACTGAAAAAATGTTTTGGAGCTAGAAATAAAACTCACTTGATTGAATGCTCAACATGAAGAAAATTGTAGGTCTGATGCCCCAGAACATACAAATGGTATGCTGGTAATCTCAGCACTGGGGAAGTAGTAGCAGAACACCACACAAGTAGGGCCCAGCATCACCACACACCTTTAATCCTAGCATTTGGGAGGCAGGTGCCTGGTCTACATAGGAAGTTCCAGGACAACCAAGGTTACACATTAAGACTCTGTCTTGAAGAACCAATAAATAGACAGATCAGAAGTTCAACATGGTATATAGCTGCATAACAGGTCAAAAGTCAGTTTGGGATACTTAAGTTTGTCTCAGAAAGTTATTATGGTAGTTTATGTAGTGCAAGCCCAGAGGTGAGTACTGATGTTTGTTCCAGCTGCTGAATGTGGTCCGCTCATACTTACTCTGTGATGTGTTTAAGGCAGGGTCTCTGTGTAACTTTGGTTGTCCTGGAACTCAGAGATCTACCTGCCTCTGTCTCTTGTATGTTAGGGTTAAAGTTGTGCACCAATATACCACATGATGAGTATTCTTATGACTGAATTGTGGCCTCTTCTCTATGCCCAGGAACAAGAGGAACAAGTCAGCAGGGACTTGACAAGACAATAGGGCAAAGAGTTAAGTAGCTCAGGAAGTCCCCAGCCAAGCAGGGTATGGACACACCTTTAATTCTAGCTCTCTAGAGGAGGCAGGTAGATTTGAATTCTAAGACAGCTAGGTAGGGCTAGAAAAGAGAGGCCCTTTCTCAACAAAACTACCTCAAACTAGACTTCCCAAGTGGGTGTACAGGATTATATATTTGCTATCAAAGTCAGTTTGGACAACAGGCATAAAGCCCTGGGCTCATTCCCCAACACAGGAAAACAGTGTGGTCTATATGTGGCACTCAAATCACTTCATGTGTTTTGACACAGGGTTTGCGTTGCCTGGCTGTCTTGGAACTCTGTAGACCAGGCTGGGCTCAGCTTGGAGATCCACTTGCTTCTGTCTCCTGAGTGCTGGGATTTAAGGTGTGTGCCACCACTGCCTAGCTTTCAATACAGCCTTTTTCTTGAAGATGTACTTATGCCGGGCATTGGTGGCACACGCTTTAATCCAAGCACTCGGGAGGCAGAGGTAGGCAGATCTCTGAGTTAGAGACTAGCCTGGTCTACAGAGCGAGTTTCAGGACAGCCTCTAAAACAATACAGAGAAACCCTGTCTCGAAAAGCAAACAAACAAAAAAGATGTACTTATTTGGCTGGGCAGTGGTGGTACACTCCTTTAATCCCAGCACTTAAGAGACAGGCCAGGCAGATCTCAGTAAATTCAAGGCCAGCCTGGTCTACAGAGTTTCAGGATAGCCAGGAGTGTTACACAGAGAAACCGCGTCTGGAAACCACCCCCGACCCCCCAAGAAAAAGTATGTTTGAATGTTTTGCCTGCATGAATGTATGTATACCATGTGCCCATGGCAGTGAGCTCCCTTGGAAGTAGTGTTACAAATGGTTAAGAGCCATCACTGTGGGTAGAGGGTAGAATACAACTGAGGTCCTCTGCAAGAACAATCACTTAACAATCACTTAAGTGCACTTAACCACTGAGCCAATCTCTCTAGTCCCTCAAAACACTTACGAGTCTGCGTGAGTGCTCATTTATGTTCGCTATGGGTGTACCTGGTACCCAGAGGCCACAAGAGAGATCAACTGTGAGCTGCCTGAGGTGAGTGCTAGGAACCAAACTCTGGTTCTGTGCAAGTGTAGCAAATGTTCTTATCCTATTCAGCTACTTCTCCAACACCATGCATTCAACACATTTTAATAATGTCAGGAAAGCACCATGGCATGGCTATCACTTAGTTTTTACTGTTTAGTCTTGCTATGTCATCCTATGCTTGCCTGAATTTACCTCAGTCCTACTGTTCCCTAAGTGTTAAGATCACTACACTCAGTGATGATTTGGTATTTTTTTTTTAAGTTTTTTTCTCTGGGAGAGCAGCTAGTGCACTTAACCACTGAGCCATCCCTCCAGCCCATTATTGGTCTTAAGAGTGCAACACATATCATTCCATTTTCTGTGAAGGTCATTTTGTGGGCTTGAGACAGGGTTTCTCTATGAAGGTCATTACACAATTCCATTCAATGTTTGTGGACAAGTTTAAAAAGAAAAGTTTTGCCGGGCGGTGGTGGCGCACGCCTTTAATCCCAGCACTTGGGAGGCAGAGGCAGGCGGATCTCTGTGAGTTCGAGGCGGGGCTGGACCGATAGCCTCCGAAACAATATAGAGAAACCCTGTCTCGTAAAAACCAAAAAAAAAAAAAAAAAAAAAAAAGTTTCCCTCCACAATGGAGATGTCCTCTATGGTAGTGTAAGGTCATTTCACAGCATCCCAAACCAAAACCACCACCGCAAACCCATTACTTTATATACAGCCAGTGCTTACAGGGGATCTACTATGCCAGACACTATTCTAAGACATGTAGGTGTCTCATATTACAGAAAATAGGTAATATTTTTTTTTTTTGGTTTTTCGAGACAGGGTTTCTCTGTGGCTTTGGAGGCTGTCCTGGAACTCGCTTGGTAGTCCAGGCTGGTCTTGAACTCACAGAGATCCGCCTGCCTCTGCCTCCCGAGTGCTGGGATTGAAGGCGTGCGCCACCAACGACCGGCGAAAATAGGTAATATTAGCCTATCATATTAATGAGTAGCTTCAAGAACTTAAGGCACATAACAGTATGGACACTTTTTGTTTGTTTTTTATTTTTCGAGACAAGGTTTCTCTGTGTAGCTTTGGCTGTCCTGGAACTTGATTTGTAAACCAGGCTGGCCCGAACTCAGAGATCTGCCTGCCTCTTCCTCCCCAAGGGCTGAGACTAGGATTGCACTACCAGTGCCTGGTTCAGTAAGGATTTAAACCTCAGCCCAACATCCAGTCACACACCTTTAATTCCAGCACTTGGGAAACAGAGACAGGAGGCCCAGCCAGGTCTATATAGTTCTGGGATAGCCAGGGCTACACAGTCTCTGTCTCAAAACAAACAAAAAAATCCTTGTGTACCACTTTATGCTCATGAACAAAAGGTGCCATGTCATGCTCGAACACACCCACCCCAAGCAGCTAATCAGTGCTAGAAAACTGTATTGCAAACTGAGGATGAGAAAGAGGTCCTACTCCAAACACTCCCTTCATCTTCTCATATTGCCCTGTCCAGGCATTCAGGAAGGAGCCAGGCATATACAGAACTCAAAAGGTCTATTTATTAGGAAGGAAATGTCAGTGCTTTATCAAAGATGAAGAGGTCAAACAGGGATGGTGGGATGGAGGACCCTCAACTGGGACACTTCTTGGCCACAATGAGGACAGCAGAAGGCACGAGTCCTAAGGAAGAAAGAGTTTGAATTACAAGGACACTTACATTTAGGCTTAAAATTCCTGGACACACACCATGTCCACTAAGCACCTTCTCATTACCTATCCCTACTACCCCTCATTCCTTTAGGTCCTGCTTCCTGGTCTCACATAACATACCCAGTTCCTGCAGAGGCCGCTCCATGTCAGCTTCTGAGAAAGCCCTTCTGGGGAAGCCACTGAGCAACTGCACAGGGTCCTGGTCTTGTCCAGGTTCTTCCCCACGGTGAAGCTCCACGTAGAGCCTCACAGCTGCCAATTGTTCCCGGGCCCGGAACGTTTGAGTCAGGGAAGTCCCATCAGGCAGCCTAACCTAGAAGGCAAAACACTATGAGCACTGAAACTGAGTGCGGACT